CAAGTCCCCATGTGAGATGTGCGTTCCAAGCCATACGAGTGCCCCCCCAAGTCCCCATGTGAGATGTGCGTTCCAAGCCATACGAGTGCCCCCCCAAGTCCCCATGTGAGATGTGCGTTCCAAGCCATACGAGTGCCCCCCCAAGTCCCCATGTGAGATGTGCGTTCCAAGCCATACGAGTGCCCCCCCAAGTCCCCATGTGAGATGTGCGTTCCAAGCCATACGAGTGCCCCCCCAAGTCCCCATGTGAGATGTGCGTTCCAAGCCATACGAGTGCCCCCCCAAGTCCCCATGTGAGATGTGCGTTCCAAGCCATACGAGTGCCCCCCCAAGTCCCCATGTGAGATGTGCGTTCCAAGCCATACGAGTGCCCCCCCAAGTCCCCATGTGAGATGTGCGTTCCAAGCCATACGAGTGCCCCCCCAAGTCCCCATGTGAGATGTGCGTTCCAAGCCATACGAGTGCCCCCCCAAGTCCCCATGTGAGATGTGCGTTCCAAGCCATACGAGTGCCCCCCCAAGTCCCCATGTGAGATGTGCGTTCCAAGCCATACGAGTGCCCCCCCAAGTCCCCATGTGAGATGTGCGTTCCAAGCCATACGAGTGCCCCCCCAAGTCCCCATGTGAGATGTGCGTTCCAAGCCATACGAGTGCCCCCCCAAGTCCCCATGTGAGATGTGCGTTCCAAGCCATACGAGTGCCCCCCCAAGTCCCCATGTGAGATGTGCGTTCCAAGCCATACGAGTGCCCCCCCAAGTCCCCATGTGAGATGTGCGTTCCAAGCCATACGAGTGCCCCCCCAAGTCCCCATGTGAGATGTGCGTTCCAAGCCATACGAGTGCCCCCCCAAGTCCCCATGTGAGATGTGCGTTCCAAGCCATACGAGTGCCCCCCCAAGTCCCCATGTGAGATGTGCGTTCCAAGCCATACGAGTGCCCCCCCAAGTCCCCATGTGAGATGTGCGTTCCAAGCCATACGAGTGCCCCCCCAAGTCCCCATGTGAGATGTGCGTTCCAAGCCATACGAGTGCCCCCCCAAGTCCCCATGTGAGATGTGCGTTCCAAGCCATACGAGTGCCCCCCCAAGTCCCCATGTGAGATGTGCGTTCCAAGCCATACGAGTGCCCCCCCAAGTCCCCATGTGAGATGTGCGTTCCAAGCCATACGAGTGCCCCCCCAAGTCCCCATGTGAGATGTGCGTTCCAAGCCATACGAGTGCCCCCCCAAGTCCCCATGTGAGATGTGCGTTCCAAGCCATACGAGTGCCCCCCCAAGTCCCCATGTGAGATGTGCGTTCCAAGCCATACGAGTGCCCCCCCAAGTCCCCATGTGAGATGTGCGTTCCAAGCCATACGAGTGCCCCCCCAAGTCCCCATGTGAGATGTGCGTTCCAAGCCATACGAGTGCCCCCCCAAGTCCCCATGTGAGATGTGCGTTCCAAGCCATACGAGTGCCCCCCCAAGTCCCCATGTGAGATGTGCGTTCCAAGCCATACGAGTGCCCCCCCAAGTCCCCATGTGAGATGTGCGTTCCAAGCCATACGAGTGCCCCCCCAAGTCCCCATGTGAGATGTGCGTTCCAAGCCATACGAGTGCCCCCCCAAGTCCCCATGTGAGATGTGCGTTCCAAGCCATACGAGTGCCCCCCCAAGTCCCCATGTGAGATGTGCGTTCCAAGCCATACGAGTGCCCCCCCAAGTCCCCATGTGAGATGTGCGTTCCAAGCCATACGAGTGCCCCCCCAAGTCCCCATGTGAGATGTGCGTTCCAAGCCATACGAGTGCCCCCCCAAGTCCCCATGTGAGATGTGCGTTCCAAGCCATACGAGTGCCCCCCCAAGTCCCCATGTGAGATGTGCGTTCCAAGCCATACGAGTGCCCCCCCAAGTCCCCATGTGAGATGTGCGTTCCAAGCCATACGAGTGCCCCCCCAAGTCCCCATGTGAGATGTGCGTTCCAAGCCATACGAGTGCCCCCCCAAGTCCCCATGTGAGATGTGCGTTCCAAGCCATACGAGTGCCCCCCCAAGTCCCCATGTGAGATGTGCGTTCCAAGCCATACGAGTGCCCCCCCAAGTCCCCATGTGAGATGTGCGTTCCAAGCCATACGAGTGCCCCCCCAAGTCCCCATGTGAGATGTGCGTTCCAAGCCATACGAGTGCCCCCCCAAGTCCCCATGTGAGATGTGCGTTCCAAGCCATACGAGTGCCCCCCCAAGTCCCCATGTGAGATGTGCGTTCCAAGCCATACGAGTGCCCCCCCAAGTCCCCATGTGAGATGTGCGTTCCAAGCCATACGAGTGCCCCCCCAAGTCCCCATGTGAGATGTGCGTTCCAAGCCATACGAGTGCCCCCCCAAGTCCCCATGTGAGATGTGCGTTCCAAGCCATACGAGTGCCCCCCCAAGTCCCCATGTGAGATGTGCGTTCCAAGCCATACGAGTGCCCCCCCAAGTCCCCATGTGAGATGTGCGTTCCAAGCCATACGAGTGCCCCCCCAAGTCCCCATGTGAGATGTGCGTTCCAAGCCATACGAGTGCCCCCCCAAGTCCCCATGTGAGATGTGCGTTCCAAGCCATACGAGTGCCCCCCCAAGTCCCCATGTGAGATGTGCGTTCCAAGCCATACGAGTGCCCCCCCAAGTCCCCATGTGAGATGTGCGTTCCAAGCCATACGAGTGCCCCCCCAAGTCCCCATGTGAGATGTGCGTTCCAAGCCATACGAGTGCCCCCCCAAGTCCCCATGTGAGATGTGCGTTCCAAGCCATACGAGTGCCCCCCCAAGTCCCCATGTGAGATGTGCGTTCCAAGCCATACGAGTGCCCCCCCAAGTCCCCATGTGAGATGTGCGTTCCAAGCCATACGAGTGCCCCCCCAAGTCCCCATGTGAGATGTGCGTTCCAAGCCATACGAGTGCCCCCCCAAGTCCCCATGTGAGATGTGCGTTCCAAGCCATACGAGTGCCCCCCCAAGTCCCCATGTGAGATGTGCGTTCCAAGCCATACGAGTGCCCCCCCAAGTCCCCGTGTGAGATGTGCGCTCCAAGCCATACGAGTGCCCTTGCCCCTCACACCGCAAGCTCTGTGCCTAGACACAGACCACTCCCGAGAAGCTACTCGCCACACAACCCGGGCCCCAATGTGGGGTGCTCCTTCAGGCAGGAAGTGAAGTCAGGCCACGTGTGGAGGCTTGGTAGGTGCATCCGCACCGCGATAGAGCGGGGGCTCAGCTAGCCCCTCAAGTGCAAGCCTGGGGCCTGATCTGCCGCCTGTGCCACATCCCCTGTAGAGACTGTACAGAGCCAGCCACTGGGAGATGATCCACCCACACCCGGGCCATTGACTGTCTGCAGACCCTGGACCTGCGCTTGTTCTTCCCGGCCCGTGGTCAGCAGCAAACCTCCCCTCACTGTCAGCAATGTGCAAACAGGGCCAGCCAGGCCCCGGGGAAGCCTCCCTGCGCAGCCCAGGTCCAAAAGCCCTGCCTGTCCTGAGCACGCCGCTCCTCAGAGCAGGGGGGTGACGAGCCATCGGCCCCGGGGAAGCCTCCCTGCGCAGCCCAGGTCCAAAAGCCCTGCCTGTCCTGAGCACGCCGCTCCTCAGAGCAGGGGGGTGACGAGCCATCGGCCCCGGGGAAGCCTCCCTGCGCAGCCCAGGTCCAAAAGCCCTGCCTGTCCTGAGCACGCCGCTCCTCAGAGCAGGGGGGTGACGAGCCATCGGCCCCGGGGAAGCCTCCCTGCGCAGCCCAGGTCCAAAAGCCCTGCCTGTCCTGAGCACGCCGCTCCTCAGAGCAGGGGGGTGACGAGCCATCGGCCCCGGGGAAGCCTCCCTGCGCAGCCCAGGTCCAAAAGCCCTGCCTGTCCTGAGCACGCCGCTCCTCAGAGCAGGGGGGTGACGAGCCATCGGCCCCGGGGAAGCCTCCCTGCGCAGCCCAGGTCCAAAAGCCCTGCCTGTCCTGAGCACGCCGCTCCTCAGAGCAGGGGGGTGACGAGCCATCGGCCCCGGGGAAGCCTCCCTGCGCAGCCCAGGTCCAAAAGCCCTGCCTGTCCTGAGCACGCCGCTCCTCAGAGCAGGGGGGTGACGAGCCATCGGCCCCGGGGAAGCCTCCCTGCGCAGCCCAGGTCCAAAAGCCCTGCCTGTCCTGAGCACGCCGCTCCTCAGAGCAGGGGGGTGACGAGCCATCGGCCCCGGGGAAGCCTCCCTGCGCAGCCCAGGTCCAAAAGCCCTGCCTGTCCTGAGCACGCCGCTCCTCAGAGCAGGGGGGTGACGAGCCATCGGCCCCGGGGAAGCCTCCCTGCGCAGCCCAGGTCCAAAAGCCCTGCCTGTCCTGAGCACGCCGCTCCTCAGAGCAGGGGGGTGACGAGCCATCGGCCCCGGGGAAGCCTCCCTGCGCAGCCCAGGTCCAAAAGCCCTGCCTGTCCTGAGCACGCCGCTCCTCAGAGCAGGGGGGTGACGAGCCATCGGCCCCGGGGAAGCCTCCCTGCGCAGCCCAGGTCCAAAAGCCCTGCCTGTCCTGAGCACGCCGCTCCTCAGAGCAGGGGGGTGACGAGCCATCGGCCCCGGGGAAGCCTCCCTGCGCAGCCCAGGTCCAAAAGCCCTGCCTGTCCTGAGCACGCCGCTCCTCAGAGCAGGGGGGTGACGAGCCATCGGCCCCGGGGAAGCCTCCCTGCGCAGCCCAGGTCCAAAAGCCCTGCCTGTCCTGAGCACGCCGCTCCTCAGAGCAGGGGGGTGACGAGCCATCGGCCCCGGGGAAGCCTCCCTGCGCAGCCCAGGTACAAAAGCCCTGCCTGTCCCGAGCACGCCGCTCCTCGGAGCAGGGTGGTGACGAGCCGTCGGGGGTGGAAACGCCTGCTGACTGACCTACGGGGCTCTGACATGAACTCTTTCTACGGGCAATGATGCAGCGGCAGGGGTGGGCGTGTTCCACGACTAGAAGATAAAAGGGGCTTAGCTCAGTCAATTCAGATCTGGAGACTAACCCTGTAAGCAGGGGCCAGCCTGACTCACTCACTCACCTGCCGTGTGCAGCCCCGTGGGCTGTCAGTCAACGGCCTCTGCAGCTCACAGGCCCAGAGAGGCCTTTTCCAAGCAAGCAGCAAAACACGCCGGAACAGAGCCGCTGGAGTCGAACAGAACATGGGCTTCGGCTTAACCCTGGCAGCGTCTGCTTTCCAGACACAAGTGACTCCGCCAGGCCAGAGCCCAGGTTCTGGGCTGGCCCCATGACGCTGCCCTTGCAAGCACACGCAAGGCCCTGCAAGGATGCCCGGGGCAAGGACGGTGCTGCCCTGCCCACCTGTGGCGTTCCTGCGCTGGCAGGACGCGCAGCCCGCAGGAGATCCTGACGACACACAGGCTGGCGTACTTCGGTCATTTAAAGAGGTGCAGCCACAGGCCATCCCTGACCTGGGTTCTTCAGGAAGGGCTCCGACAAGCTGCTGCTCATCTTCCAGGCCCACCTCCGCCTGGGGACTCTGGAGAGGCAATGCCCTGCCTGCCAGGCCCTTCGATGGGGGCGCTAACCAGCTCATCTCAGCCCTGGATTCTGAGCAGATCTTGCCCAGCCCCCGTCACTGATTTGCACTGCATATGTCATCTCCCTTTAGCAAAGAAATGCACCTCTCAAAAATGTGATCATCACGGCGCTCCATTGTAGGGCGACTGCTGTGTCTGCACCTGGCAAGGGAGCCCGCTCTCTCTTCCCGCCTTCTGGCCGTAGAACGCGCCCTCTGCTGAGGTGTGCAGAGGAATCTCCTTCACACGCATGGACAGGGCAAGTCTCAAAGCTGGACTGCTAGCAGCAGGGGTCAGGCAATGGGGAATCGCTTCCTCACTGCGGAGAAGGGCGCCAGAACTCTTGGGCACCGAGAAAGGATGTTTCACCTGCCCGACTTGCCCCCCCTCCCCCCAGGCATTAGTGGCAAATCATGCCTGGATGGTAGTGAAAGAGCACTAGTCTCTCCAGGCACGAGGCAGACTCAGGTGATAGAGAAGCAGCACCCCCTAGTGCCTGTGTGGGGAACTAGTACATTCCCAGACAAGCCAGAACTGATGGATACAATCATGTTCTGTCCCTGCAGGTGGTGCAAAGCCTCGTGTCACAGGGGAGTTTGTGCTCTGCGTGTATCCTGCCGGCTTTTAGCTGCCTGAGCCGCGAGTCACAATACTACAACTGGAAGTCACAATTGATATGTGGTAAGAATGTCAACAGAAAGTCAGCCCCCAGAGGATGTGTTTTCCCAGAGTGGCTGCTTCCTACAGAGGGGCAGCCTCCGAAAGCAGATGAACACCACAAGGGTTCAGATGTGGGGAAAAACAGCTGTTAAGCATCATTCCTTTCAGAGGCCAAGGGCTTTGCTGATTTGCTCAGGAAAGAGGGCTGAAGATGCTTGCATGGATCTGCCTGATTGGAGGACCCATCTGCAAAGTTCACGTCTAGAGAGCACTGACCAATAGCCTGCATTAATAACTTAGCAACCACTATTCTGTTCCCGCACGTGGCAAACGGATGTACAAGCCACGCACAGTTCTACCAATATTCCTCCGTCCCCAGCAGCTCCAGCCTGGGCCTCACAGACTGTTCACTGCACCGATTGCATGGTGGTCACAGGATGCGAACACATGTCCATTCAGGACTCAAATGAGACACCCACATTTTCACTTGTTACCTAAATCAGGATTTGAATCCAGTTTGCTAGAGGTAAAAGGAATTAACCAGATGCACCACTTAGCCTGTATAAGGAGCAACACTAAACAAGCCAGCCCTGCATTTAGTGTGCTCCTTAACAGCCACTAAGCTAGAAGGAGCCAAGTGGAATTTTTGTGCTAGCTTGGTCTTGCACTGGTATTTCTCTTGGGAATTCTGAGACGTCCAACAGGCTCATTAATTGATGCTGGGTCTAGCCTCAGACACTCATAGTGTCCTTGAAGCCCCACACCTCCAAGGAGGAGATCTGGAAGCTTTCAGAGCACAGTGGCTGATTATTAAAAGTATTGCAGTGGCTGGTTCTCCCATGGTTCAGGTCTGCGTCAAGGTAGAGGGCTTGGCCATCGCCACCTCCTAGAGAGAGGAAGAACACACAGGATATTACTTTTGCATTTCTTGGGATGTGACACTTACAGCTACAGAGAGAAGGGGCTTGACGGCTTTTACCACCAGGGACAGCTGGAATAAAGAGCGACCCAGCACCACGCTCAGCTGCTGTCTTTTAGACACCTGTTTCTATGCGTGAACCGTCATGAAGCTAGCAGAACTGCAAGTGACCATTTTGGCAAGTTCAGGAACAACCACCCAGTCAGACTGGCTCCAGGAAGTTACTAACTAGTTATCTGAACTTCAATTACATAGAACAAATCAAGACAGAAGCCCTTAGTCAACTTAGTGAGCAATATCAAACCGGGGAGAGAGAAATCAGGGAATCAAAAGGAACAGCAGCGGGACTGATACAATCCTCTAGAACAGTATCAAAGGAATCTCTAAGTGCACTGCCTTTGATCAGATCTGCAAGAGACAAATTACTGCACAGACCTTCGAAGACTGTACTGGTGCCATTTGACAGGCGCAGCAGAACAAGCTACTGCAGACTAGTTACCTTGTGCTTCAACACCACCTCACTGCCAGCTAAGTTTGTAGGCCAGAATGATCCGTAATACCATATGCAGCAGAACGCAGCTGGAGCTGTGCCTTGGCTGGGCTTGCAGCATCTAGTACTCACAAATATCGAGATGCAAGGTTTGAGAACAGACTGTGTTTTCAGTCACTTTTCTTGCTCTAGCTACTGCTGGAATGTCATAAATACTACACTCAGCTTGGCTGGTTTCCTGCTGGGGTGAGCAGGGCGAGCAGGCAGGGGAACTGCATGGACCCTGCACAGACTTACCTATGATGACACACTCATTGCTGCCAGCCATGAACATGGAAGCGGTTTTGGAAGGCAAGTTGAAGTGGCGAGTGGCTAGGAAGGGGGAGAGACGATCTGAGGCATCTGAGTGGATGCTGCTGGAGGACAGGACACTGGAAACCTGCGGAGACTTAGTCCCTTGCTCAGAAGCCGTCACGGCCAGTTCGGGGTGCTTGATTATCACCCACTCATAGCGCTCCACTTCCGGCTGCAGCTGGGCAGAAGGAGAAAAGGCAGCCAGGAGTCAGTGGTCAGCATCTGGTCCCCTGCGAGTTCTGAATGTGGAGCAGCCCTGGAGCTGCTGGCGTTGCCAGTACAACCGGTGAGCCATGCGGACCAGCCTTTGGTATAAAGGGCAGGAATGTGCCAGAGAGACTTCTTCCTTGTAGCGGGACGAGGGTAAGGCGTGGTGATGCGTGGTGGTTTCCGAATGATCATCTTCCATGCCCAGGCCTTGTGAGACTCATTCTGTGCCCAGGGGAATGGCCCTCCCTGTAAAGCTGGGCAGGAAACCTCTCCCACAACCCTTCCTAGGGGATTCCAGAAGGGCCGGGCTGGGATAGAAGCTCGTCAGCCTGTGGACACGGGGTGCCATCCCACACTGGCCTCACCACTTACCCTGAATACAAAGCACTCTCCAGTCCCAAAGAAACTCAGCTGAGTACCTCTTCGCCTGCGCTCACTCCAGTCGGTTGACAAATAAGCGCCGCAGACCTAGAGCAAAGGGCAAGGTCAGGGGGCTTTTCACCAGTCACCACGGAGACGACACTGGGTAGTTTACATTCACGGATACCAATAGGTTTTGGAGCCCACAACTTAAGGTCTAATGTAGTTTAATATTGAAAGTCTCCAGATCAGTGGAGGAAGAAGTCACAAGACATTTAGCCTGAAAGCTAGATTCGGATCAGCAGTGGAACTGGCACGTCTACATTTTAAACATTATTTCCCCCCCACGGGTTCGGAGGATGAGGGTGGGACAGTGCTTAGCATGCTAGCCTGGGACTCTGGCGAACAAGCATCAATTCCATGCTCTGCCACAGACTTCTTGGGTGACCTTGGGCAAGTCACTTAGCCGCTCTGCACCCCAGTTCCCCATCTGTACCATGGAGATAATAGTCCATCAGGGTGTTAGGAGGTGCTCAGATACTATGGTGATGGCGAGGGGGACATGGAAGTACCACAGGCAGAAGCATCATAGACAGACCTAAATGCAAGATGCTAAATTTGCGGACGTTCAAAGGCCACGTCCTTGTTTTAGTTGCAATAGCATCAATGCTCATCGCAGAGCACTGCTGGCTGTGCAGCAGCGAACAGGCAATAATTCCAGAGAATGCGACGTGTCCCTGCTGCCTTCAGCAACCTCCTCCACACCAGCAAGACTTCCCACAGCCAATCGTGGAGCCGAGGGCCAGGTGCAGCTGGATTAACTGGTAGGGCCGCTCAGCACGCAGCCCCTCTGGACTCTGGCAGAAAGCACGGTTTCACACTGCCAGCACCCATCGTGCTAGGTCAGGCAAGCAGTTCTATCTCGGTCAGCACCAGCACGTCGTCTCCCCTACTGACACCCAGCAGCAACAAGAAACGGGCAATGCAGCTTGCAGAGGAGGGAACGGAAAGGTGGCCCACTGCTGGAATTTGCCTCCATAAGAAGCAAGAAAAAACTCCTGGGCTCTGAGGAGGATGGGTGGGGGAATTAACACATTGGCTGTGTCTACACTGGCACCCTTTTCCGGAAAAGGGATGTTAATGAGACACTTGGGAATTGCAAATGCCGCGGGGGATTTAAATATCAAGGATCCTACTTGAAATTAGGAATAAGGGATCTTCCGGAAAAGGGCTTATTTTCCGCAAGATCCTGTCTAGACTGGCGCTTTTCTCCGGCAAAACCCCAAGCCGGAAAAAAGCGGCAGCCATGTTCATGCAAATGCCGCGGGGGATATTTAAATCCCCCGCGGCATTTGCAATTCCCAAGTGTCTCATTAGCATCCCTTTTCTGGAAAAGGGTGCCAGTGTAGACAAGCCTTCATGTTTCCAGCTTCTAATACGCAATTATAAACCCCGGAAAAAACCAGTGCCCTTTTCGACTCGTCTCCCCTGCCTCTGCAGCTTCTAAGGGCTGACCCGACAGATCAGAGGCCAGCAGCATGGGCGTTAATAGCACTCTGTTGGCCAGGAGGCCTTCCTCTTCCTCTGGGTCTCACGGCCACCACGTCAGCCACTTTCCTAGCCACTGTGGCCTGAGGATTAGAAATAGTGACCCTAAATCTGCTTTTAGTTACCTGCAGGCAAACCCCACGTAACCGACCCCTGCAGGCTACACGTGAGCAGCATGGGCTGCAGGGTTTTGGTAGAGCTACCCCACAAGGCCAGAGAGAAGCCCAATACTGTCAGGTACAGTCGCCAGCAGCAGGCCTCCCTCTGTCCCCAGCGGCCCGGCCCGCTCCTCATCTCAGAGCACCCCGCAGTGTCCCTGTGCAGCGTGTTTGGTTGCACCACAGCCACAGGAGCAGCATTCTGAGAGCGGTTTCGGTGTAGCAGGAAACCCTGCAGTAGGGACGCCAACGTGCAGTCGGCCACATGATTAACTGATAACCTGGGCTCATCGCCTACATGCATTTCTCTCCCCACCCCCCTGCTACCTCTGTATCAGAGGCAGCAACGCGGGGGAAGCGGGAGCTGGTGCCCATGAGGAGCTGGCTTTAAACAGGCTCCCCACGAGCACGGGATCCACCTGCCCCCCTCACTGCTGCCTCTGATAGACGCGAGACTGAGGGCGGCAGGCTGGACTGAGAAGTGCGGGAATGGCTTTCAAGCAGGCTCCTCTTGCGCGCCAGCTCTGCAGACCAGGCTGCCTCCCCTGCCCCCTCCAGTGCAGTGAGGGGAGCCCACTTAAAAGCTGGCTTCCCCCAGCACCAGCTCCATAGTGCCACCCTCCTCAGAGGCAGCATCGTGGGGGTGGGGTAGGGGAGGCTGTTGCGAAGCAGCCTCTGTCCACAGTGGCTTGGGCTCGCCACAGACAGAAGCTGGTCCATGGGGGGGTCTGAGCGCCCTGTGGCCAGGGGATGCCGTGGTGGACCCCCCACAAACGGGCTGCTGCTTGGGGAGCTCAGATCCCCAAGCTGGTCTGTGCAGGGAGCTGGTTTTTAAACTGGCTCTCCTCCCAGCCTGGCTCCCGCCTGCCACCCTGCCCTGCAGCCTCTGACAGAGGGGCAATAGCGCAGGGTGGGGCTGGGAGCGCCCTGGCTGCCGGCTCCGTCCCCGGGTACTAGCCAACAGTCGTGTAACCACTACGAATTCACGACTAATTGCATGGTACCTGGCATCCTACTCTGCAGCACTGCTGCCATCCAGGTGATCCTTGTGCAGGAGGGAAACGCCTTCTCTGGGCCACAAATGTGCAGCTGAGCGCTCACCTAGCAAACAGGGCAGGGACAGAAGGGCTCTGGGGGAGTTGCTTCCTGCAATCTGGAGCTATTGCCACCACCTACGGACACAAAGGGGATGCCAGGCCTGGACCCAGGTGGAAGTATTTCATCTGCAGGTCCCCCTGGCTCGTCAGCACAGGGAGCGCCCACGAGGAAGGCATTTCTCCGCCTCCCCCTGCTCCATGGAACAAACTGCACGCAGGATGGGTGGCGGGTGGCATCTCCATGCCCCTTACCTCTCTGGCTGTCGTCTTGATCAGCAGCAGCGTTGGCTCGTGCCCCTCGCTGTGAGAATAGAACCTGGCGTGCGAAGAGACGGCTCCGTCAGCGATCGCCCCCTGCGTACATCAGCTGTTGCATGCAAGCGCCCCTGCCCCACAGCCTCTCCAGCCCCAGGCTTGCCTGCTGGCACGAGACGCCCTGACTGCAGGGCTGACCGCACCTCTGCAAGTGTCTCCAAGGGAGGGGTCTGGCTCCCCATTGCCTTGCAGCTGCAGAGACACCTGAGCAGCATGGGGGGAGCTAAGCGACTAGCCGATAAGCAAATGCCAGCTCTTCACACAGTTAAAAGCCCCAAGTGCAGCAGGGGGACCGGCACAAGCCAGGGCAGTGGATTCCCAGCTCGTGCTGGACCCCGCTGTGCACCAGCCTTTTCAATGCATTAAGAGCCAGCACGCTCCCCGGCTTATTCCCAGAGCGACTAGGTGAGTAAAGGAAACGTAACATCCTTACACCGAGCCGAATGGGGTGACTTGGCTACACAAGGCACCGCACAGCAGAGAACCAGGCCCTGGCGCTTGGTGTCATGAGGCATGAAGAGCTTTCTGCCTCCACAGCACTCTGTTTTGGGGCACAAGGAACCCACCCCCCCTCCCATTCGCCAAGGCATGACCCTTCATCGGAGGCCTGGCTATGGCTGCCAGTCACGTGTCTTGGGAACCAGACTTTGGCATGTTGTGGCTGTAGCATTTGGAGACATTTCAGACGCAGCGGGGAAGGCGTTTTCGCCAGGCTATTTCTATTTGCAGTTGTTTTTTAAACCGTGTACCTGGACTTCTAAAAATCCATGACAGCTCTCCCCCTGCTACACGCTTCCTGCCAGTCGCATCCAGCACACGTTTAAGTGTCTTTTTTATTCTGCGGCTTATTCTTTGCCTTCTGCCCAAGAGTAGAGGGGGTAACCTCTCCTTAGTGTTAGGTGAAACAGAGAGCCAGTGTGAGCATTGCTCCAACGCTCACAGAATCACAGAAGATTAGGGCTGGAAAAAACCTCAGCAGGTCATTTAACCCCCCGTTTCCTGTTCAAGAGAGTGTTAGGCCTGATCTACACAACAGTGGTAGGTCGACGTAAGGCCGCTTAACCCGACCCAGTTATGTCAGGCTCCAGCTACAATGCAGCCCAGATTGACTCTCTGAGATAGAGAGTCTAGCGAAGACCTGAAGATCATTCTCCTGCCAACCCTGTTCTGCTACTCCAGGTGAGAAGAGTAAGGGAAGCCAATGGGAGACCCCCCCGTGTTGCCCAATAACTGGATTTCGGCGTAGAAAAGTCAGGGCAGGTGTTAAAGGACAGCCAGCAGGGCAAGTGCCATGCCAGAGGGGTCCCTACAAAGCTACATTGCTCAGGCTTTGGCTTCAACTCCAGGTGATGGGGCTCAGGGCCCCAGGCTTAAGATCCATGCAGTAGTACTGCAGTTTTCTGCCCTGGGCCTCAACAAGCCTAACACGGGCCATGCTTGGTGGACCCCCGGGAATCTGCTCACAGCCCCGGACTCTTGGTTGAGAGCGACTGAGCTAGGAGCCAGTGTTGGTGAAAAGGACCTGGTGGTAACAGTGGATCACCAGGTTAGCACAAGCCAACAATGCGATGCAATTGGGAAAAGGCTATTACTGCTCTCGAGCGTTCAAGCTACGGGAGCCAACTGTCCTGCTCTACTTGGCACGGATGAGACCTCAGCTGGAGAGCCGGGTCCAGTTCTGGGCACCAAGCCTTTGGAAAGGTCTGGACAAACTGCAGAGAGTCCAGAGGAGAGCAACAAAACTAATGACAAGTTTAGAAAACCTGACCCGGCGAGGAAAGGTTAAAAGCCTGGGCACGGTTAGTCTTAAGAAAAGACGACTGCATCTGTTAAGGGCTGGTGTGAGAAGCACAGCGACCGGCTGTTCTCAACGGCCACTGACACTGGGATAGGAAGAGGCAAGGCAGACAAAGGAAATTAGGAACAACATCTAACTACAAGACTAGTGAAAGTCTGGAACAGGCCTCCCAGGGAGGCTGCGGAATCCCCACCACTGGCGGAGAGGCTGGAGAAACACGTGTCAGCGCGGGTCTCAGTTTACTTGGCCCTGCCGCTGTGCAGGGGCTGGACCAGATGTCTCGAGGTCCCGTCCGGCCTGGGGATGTACGTGGCTAGTTGACTACCCGATAAGCATGTTTATTGGGTAGTGGAGCAGTGACTCGACGTATCACCCCCGCCCCAGGCTGCTGTGCCTCTCCCTTTGACATGCAGCTCCTAGAGGCACCCTCGCTACATTCCAAAGGGACAGGCAGAACCGAGGCGAGTGGGGGCTGCTCAGTCCCCTCTGCTCTTCTGCCTTTGAAATGTAGCAGGAGCCGTGGGCAGCTCTTACTACATTTAAAAAGCAGAGGTGCAGCGGGAATAGCGAGCACCTCACCCCACATCGACTACTCGAGCAGCTGATTCATCGACATTTAACATCCCTATCCCAGCCCTGCATTTCTGTGCTTCTCTGAATGAATGACAGCTCCCAGGGCTAGCATGCAAACAGTGGGAATTCAGGACTAGTGTTCACACCAAGTGGAGGCAGGGCCTTGGTCTCTATCTTTGCAGCAACTAACTCAGTTGGGGGACAAGAGATTCAGTCTTCCCTGACATTTGCAATCTGTCATTCCTATACTAGTCTCTGGCTGCACACTTTGGTGAGCCCTGCTTTGCACGAGGTCTTCTGTATTCAGAAAGCCCTGGCTGGCTGTTCTTTTCTACTCGTACAACATGGAAAGATTAGATTACCTGCTTAGGCTGCAGCCATGTTCCAAGGTGGTAAAGAGCAATAGGGGCTGGCAAAGTGCAAAGCGCTCTGGGATCCAGGACCAAATGTCTCTCATCTCTTTCACGCTGACAATTTCAGACTTGAAGTTCTCCGCATGCACTGCCAAGTGCACGTTCTGCCTGTAGACCAGGGGAGACAATGTTAAGCGCAAGACAGAAATCTGACAAGCAACGAGCAAAGGGGCGACTGAACACGAGAACATGCCTCAGTACAGTACCCTGCTGTCCCAAGCACCAGGCCAGGCGAGGACAGTATGGCTTGACACACTGCTGCTGTTCAGTGGAATCCGTGAGGATTAGTGGCTTTACTGGGGAGAACTTTGCAGTTCTAACTCAGCCATGCTACCAATGGCTGGTGCAGAGGAGCTACATGGTTGAATGAAAAGCAGAAACATCACAGCCTTAAAAATAAATTCAGGTTGATCTGCCACTCAAGGGCAGCCCCACTAATAGCAGCACCCCACAGGGGAGAATGTATACCAGGTCCAGACAAACACAGTGGCATTTGCTTGTCTCGAGTCCTGTTTATACATGTGGAATTAGAGAATTCCTGCAAATATCCTAGTCACACCAGAATTACAGAGATCACAGAATTGCCACTTGCACAATTTTATCACGAGGTTCATGATATTTGGTGCCATCTGAAAGGCCTGGCTCCTGAAGTCATGGCATTGTTGAGAATCTCTGCTTTTGGCTGAAAGACGTTTTGCATCCTCGCGGTTGCAGAGAAAAGTTTGAAAAGTGATCCAAGGGCACATTACAGGAACCAAAAGGCAAAGTAAAAGACCCCAAATTTGATTTTAAAATCCAGCCTCTTGAGTTGTGGGGCCTGGCTCATGACTTGAGCTCTCAGACATGGCAATACCAGGATCCATACATTTACCCACCCTCCCTTGCCCTGGGCTAGAGATGGAATCAATCCACTCACACCCAGAAAAGCAGAAGCTGTAAGAAGCGTTACTGCACCAGAAGTATAAATGCGACAACCAAGTACGTTTGGTGGAAGAGACAGAAGGGCTCAGACAAGGTGTTAAGCAATCAGAGTGCAGTCAGCCAGGCTATGCTTTGGAGACTCAATTCTGACCCCAGGAGGGTGGCCTGAATGTGGGAAGGGGGCCCGAGCTCTTGCTAGGTTTGATGCTATTTTTGTCGGCCATTCTTGGTTTAGCTCTTTTCCTGCCCCAACACGTCCCAGAATGCAGAGACACCCTCATAAGTAATGCACGGAGTGTGTTAGTGTAGCTACGAGCGCCCTACAGCAGGGGTGGGGCAGGGCCTGCTGACTCTCAGACAAATCAGGTGGGGGCCGCACACAAGAAAGATTTTGTGTGCTCCAGCCCCATGGTGGAGTGGCGGGCGTGTCCGTCCATCCGTCCCTGAGCCTCGGAGAATGGACTCAGGCAAGGCAGGGGCCGCACCTGGCTCCCCACCTCTGCCCCACAGCGTGAGCAATGCTACATCGCCACTTGGGAGTCCTGAGCAGTCACGTAGGGGCATCATTCCCTACTCCACGGCTTGCTGAGCTGCCCAAAATCACCAATCCTGTGTCATTTCCGATAGCAACTGGGGCTCCTCGGGGCTGCCTCGCTGTCAGCGTTCCTAATGGGGAGGCAGACCGGGTGTCAGCTCAGGCACAAGTCGCTATCTGAAGCTCACTAACATTCCGACAGGCAGTGGGGATCACCACTTGCACTGCAGCCCTGGCCTCCTCTCCCCGTCTAGGGACTCAGACAGACCCCATCACTGCAGTACTTCCCGCGCAGTACTCCTGGGAGGTAAGGGAGCGTTATGCCCGTTCTACAGACAGGAGACGGAGATACAGGAAAGACGGGCTCGTATGAGGTCACAGTGGAAATCTGTGTTTGAGCCAGGAACCGAATCTAGATCGGAGACCCCGTGCACTGACACATCTCTGCAAGGGTGGCCTCGCGGGAGAGAATCGGGCAAGTCCTCCATATCCTTCCTCGGGTAGCAGAAATCCCCACATTAGCCAGCGACTGACCAGCACTGATGGGACGGAAGCCAGAAGAATTACATTTGTGTTTCAGTGTTGCAGAAGTGACACCTGAAATTGCCTGCACTGAGCGGGGCAGGGGCCTCTCAAAGAGACGCAAATTCAAACGAACAGCTCAGATGGGCTGGGTGGGAGAGGGGGACAATGCCCTCTAACCTTTTCCATCCCGGTGGGGATTTTTTCCTTCCATGTGCAAGATAAATGTTCCGTGCTCCGAGGTGTGTGCAAACGTGTGCCACCGCAGAAACAAGACCTAGCTATGGGCACTCCCCTAATCAGCTGGGCGGCACGAACCCCCCCGAAGGGCTGCAGGAGCGCACAGCCCACAGGGAACGCCGGCTGTAACCTGTAGCCCCCAGCTCTAGGGGACGATGATGCGTCTCCGCCCGCCCCAGGACTGGGGGGAGATGCTGAGTAAGAGGCAGTTGGCTCTGTCTGGCACAAGGCAGGTGAGACCCCATTTTGAACCAATGCTCCCACATGAATCCATAGCCATCCTCCAGCACCTGAAGGCATATCTCCCCAGAGCCACAAACCCCGTCACTCCTGCGCCCCAGCATCAGCATTCCCTCCATTTTCTTCTATCCACGTGCAGAACAAATTTTGTGATGTGCACCGAGGCACGTGTGGATGTGCATCACCAGTCGAGACTCGTTCTGCCCACATACTCTGTGGGCACTTTGCTAATCGGCTGGGCGGCATTTCAATTTCTCCTGGGTGACCCCAGGGAGCTCAGCTTACAGGGAACGCTGGTGGGGAACTCTGGTTATGCATGTTGCTGGGGATAGAATCTAGGAGCTAGTACTACGAGTTCTGCGTTAGTGCTGCCCCACTAGAAGTCATCTCTCATTATCCAGAAAGAGCCAATAACGTATTGAGAAAGCCTCCTGACGATGGATTAGCCATGCAATTGTCATAGCCACTAGAGCTGGACCTAATACTGCAAAGCTGCAGTCATTTACCCATTAAAGATTTCTGCCATTCATGAGTGTTCTTTTTATCTTTCACCATTAGTTTACCTGCATTTGCATTGCAATTTTCTATTTAATGTGTTTAAAATACATCAAATGTATGGAAGAAAGGACTCTCACTTCTTAATTGCCATGCTGCCAGAGTAGCACATTCAAATCTTTACAGTTTTGGTGGGAAGTTGGGTTCTTAGACAGATCCATCACTAAAATGAGAATGCTTTACAGCCAGAGCTCAGGAAGATCAAACTAGCTTTCATTTCACGCATCAGCAACAACCAGAGCAGATACACTTTGCATATAATGAACATGACGATTCAAGATAAATACATAGCCACTGAATCACCTTTTCTAATTCTCAAGATCTTGTACTAGCTCTGAAACCTCCCACAACCAGGGTGAGTTTTTAAATCCATGATTTTTTCCAAACTCTTTCAGAACTTGAACACGGAGGAAAGTGCGCTAAGCAATCTAGCGCCTAATGTAGGCCATGGACAAGTCATGTTTTAAATTGTTCTCCCTGTTAGGGTTAACAATAACCATGTAAGTTCTGACAGATTAGTTGAGCTTTATTACTTGTATTGCAGTGGTGTCTAGGAATCCTGGTCATGGCCCAGGGTCCCTCTCTGCTAGGCACTGTACAAACACTTCTAGTTAACATGTTTTCTAACAGGGTGTAGTTTTTCCAGTGTAGACAAGGCCTGAAGAGTCCAATCACTCATACTAGAATTTCCATCCCAAGAGGATGAGCTATATTTATGAATGAAATCGAGGCCTCCTGCATAGACCAATAATGCTAGGTCAGCAGGATGGTCACATGAACCCTCATTTGAAGACTTCTCTCAAGGACATATCCAGGAATGAACTATTTACCTTGTTGTTTATTGCTGCAATCAGCACGGCTGCTAATGCCCCAGCGTGGCAAGGCTGACACTGCTTTTGAAAATGCAGCCAAGCAAAGACAGAAGAAACGAGCAAAGCACAAACATTTAACATTTTAACCTACCTTTTAGAAGATGAAACACTGCAAACAGGAGGGATGCAGCGGATATGGAATTGACAGAAGGAGAGTGCACGAGGAGAAAGACATAAAAAAAGACAGGAAAACAGATCAGTGATTTCCTATATCCCCAGAAAAATGCATGGAAGGAGCCTATGGAAAAACACAGAATAAGGTTGGATTCAAACACCACCCACAAAGAAACGAAGAGGAAAGGTTAACAACATTCCTCAGTTAGCATCAGTTCTCCTGTTCTCCCTTCAGCCCTCAGTCCATTTCTCCTCATGCACAGCAGGATGGCAAGGCAATAGTTCCCAAATCTCACTCGCTATCAAACCAGTTTGGACAAGGGACTGGAAAGAGCGCTTCTGTTGCACATGCTTTTGCCAACCTACTGCCCTGGGTCAAACCTACTCCACAATCTCTCTTCCAAAGATCAGAGATTATGTCACGTTCCAGCAAATGGCACAGAAAAGGCGAAAACACTTTTCATTAGCCAGTGACTCTGCTTGGTGCTCTCCCCTGGCAACGAAAGCACTGCACCTTGCTTGCAAGGAATCTAAAACCACACCTTTGGTGCTCTGGGTTGGTTATCAATAAATCATTTCTAAGCCTAGTAGCAGCTCCTGGCTCCTCCTCCCCTTCCCACTCTCTCTCTCTCTCTGAAGAGCATACACACTGGCTGTTTCACCTTGTCTGACCTTCCCCAATTGGGAGAAGGACGTGAGATACCCAGACTGTCGCACAGTCTATGCTTCCAGTGTAGTGCATCGGCAGCAGTGGCCTGGAGGTCCTGGTTGCTTCGGTAGCCTCCCTCGTCCAAAGTTTCTAACCAACACTTGCGCGGACAGAAGCCCTGAAGGGATGCTGAGTGCGCCTGCCAAGGGAAGGTGCTGACTCTTAGAGCAGCAGTGGGCTGCATGAGTGACTCTCAAGATTGTTGGAACCAAGATGGTCTCCCATGATTCATAACTAGAATTAGCAGGGAGTGCCGATTGAACAGCAGCAGCACGGTGACTGGATGCAGAGGGAGTGCACGGCTCTCAGTCAATGCCGTGTGCAGTCAGCACCCACCTCACTTCACGTGCCCTGGTTTTCTTTATGTGCGTGCCACTTTTGTGGCACCAGTCGGGGAAAAAGCCCCAAACATGTGGACGAAAACCAGCAGAAGCTGGCAGCCCTGCACACGGACAATAACAAACAAAATGTCTGATGGGCCGCACACAGAGCCCTGATGGGCTGCAGGCTGCCTACCACTGCTTTAGAGGTCTGAGCAACATGAAGAAGTCACACATCAAGGTCTGCAGGATGTAGGAAGCAGCTGGACGGGAATGTCTACCTTACGAAGAGATGAACAGCGGCACGTAAAAGCACCATCAAGGAGGATGTTACTTCAATGGCCAAGATCTGACCAAGGATATATTTCCATAATCACAAATAAAAGTCCTTCAGGGGTACTGAGTCAATCTCCCTGTTCTGCGCCAGTGGCTCTGAGAAGTACACTAGTTGCAAGTACCTCCTGGTCCCACAATTTAGAAGAAGAACGTGGAAGATCATCACTCTGGATTATACCATCCAGAAACTATGCTCACAGGTTTTTTTCAATGGCGAGTTTTCCGTGTGAAGGACAGGAGAGTTAGTTAGGTTTCAAAAAACAGCCTTTAGGAGAGATTTCCTCCAGTCAAACAGCTTTGTATGGTGGCTGTAGAGTTATAGGATCTGTTTCTAAATCAACTTTTATTCATACACCACAAATCTTCCCTAAGGCTTGCCTTGTTGGGTTTAAGAGAATGTACTAAACATTGAGAGAGCTGCCAAGGAAAGTGAGGCCCGAAAGCTGTACTCCAAGGACTTCCTTCTTGCACCTGGTCTACATGCATGAGGAACTCCCTCAGGGAACTTTACTGTCCTGTGTCTCATAAGAACGGCCAGATGGGTCAGACCAAAGATCCATCTAGTCCAGTGTCCTGTCACCCAGCAGTGGCCCAAGCCAGGTGTCCCAGAGGGAGTAAGCAGAACAGGGAATCATCAAGTGATCCCTCCCGTCACCCATTTCCGTTCCCTGATGAATGGAGGCTAGGGACACAATTCCTACCCATTCTTCATCATTGTGAAGTAGCATATCATGTACTCTAGCATGGTCAGATAGGTATTGGATCAGTGTGCAAGTTCCCCGCTTGCCTTTTTCCCAGGTCTGATGAGAAAGCATGACCCAACTTTTGTCCCAGCATTTAGCCATTCTGTTGTGACTGGTTTATTCCAAAGCACTCATTGTAATCAGATGTGTTCCTAGCTATCACTAAACAGACAGACTCTACCTGCACACCTTACAAAGTCTTCTCAGATTTTTGTAAGAGGCTTTTTTGACTGTAAAGTTCCTTTTCAAATATCACTTGTAAATAGAGATCCATTATAGTTCAATGACTTTCAGCAAAAAAAAAAAAAAAAAAAAAAAAAAAAAAAAAAAAAAAAAAATTGCTCTTCACCTCTTAATATTTGTAGCGAACATGTGATTACATCAATAGTTGGAAGTTTGTTCCTGGAGGAGCAAACTGTCAAAACTGCTTCATTCCAAGTGGCATAACAGTTAGATTATATGTCGTTATAATTTCAGCAACACTCGTGCAAAGTCGGCAGCTTTGCTGCAGCCCCACATGTTGCCATCTCCCCAAGACGACTCCTCTGTGATAAAGGGAACATGATGAGCTATCAGAGACCTGAGCTTCCTAACTGACCTCTCAGAGTTGGCTGCCCCTCCCTAGAGCGAAAGAGCCAGTTGATCTTGCTAGGCAGGGCCGAGTAAATAGAGCACCTGGGGGCCTTACCTCTTCTGTTTGACAGTGATGCCTTTCTGCTGCAGGGCTTTCTCATTGGCCATATGCAGAAGCTGGATCTCCTTCCGGGAAAAAAGCCGTATGGCAAAGGCTTTCTCCAGCAGTTTCTCAGGAGACACCGACTTGGCAATGTCCCTAACAAAAGCTCGAATGTCTTGCTGCACGTTGTCCGACTCCATGGGCTGTCCAGCTCTCACTTTGTGGAAGACTTTGAGAAGGGCTAGTGCAACCCGGTAGAGCACCTTGTAGCCTTCTACCAGGAACACATCAAAAACCCGCGTGACATACATCAAGGGCAGCTCTCCAAAGAGCCACCGCTGCCAGTCAGAGTACACTTCCAATACGTCCTCAGATACGGCCACCATCAGCTTGTGCGCTGCCTGGCAGTACTTGTTCACCAGGTCTCCAAAGGTCATGCAGGAGGACTCGAACGCCAGGAATGTCTGATCAATGAGCCGCCTGGAGGGGTCATTGCAAGCAAGGATGCGAGAGACCATCTCAAAGCACTCTGCCTCATCTCGACTGTAGTGCAGGAGCAGAGCCACCACAGAAGGCAACGCTGGGCAGAACGATATGTCAGGGAACTGATTTGCGATGCAGCAGATAATCTTCCTGACTGCCCCAATGCCCTCAGCATTCAAACAGTAATTGGGAACCAGACTGTTATCCACAAACTCTGGCCATGGGAGGGTGCCTGTGTTACGCTTGCCGACGATCTTCACAACGATGTCCCGGTACACGTTTGCATCTGGTGTCACTGTGCGACATGAGATGTTGCCAATTAGCTTCTGGTACACTTTGGCTCTCAAAGAGTGGTTCTTGGCCCAATAGCCCTGTCGGGCAAGCTGTTTGAACTCCTGGAAATCTGAGCAGATTAGCTCCTTTGGGTCCTGGGTCTGGATGGTGGCATCCATCTTGTCCCAATCCACAAAGCGGGTATATTCATCCATGGTTGCAGGGAATGTTTTTGCAGAAAGACAGAAGAGCAAAGACCTTATCTGGGCTGTAGGGGACTCATACTTTCTCCTGGAAGAGAAAGAAAAGAATGTTAGAGGTTTCTTGTAGCAGAACATTCCCCATCCTCTTCAAGGCAAAGAAATTCTGGTTGGTCTGTGTTGTTATGAAAGAGCTTCCAACTGGAAGCAAGTTTCCAGATGCAGATTTAGAATATTTTAATTCCATTTTTACACCACAGTGTGTTGTTAATCCACACTTAACTAATACAGTCAAAACCAGCGCAAGTGTAGATGTAACTATTTTCCAATGTGCAGTTCCCCTAGCCAATGGGAATTACTTTACATTAGTTGTAAATGTAATCAATCACATCAAAAGGTATGCGCAGGTTCTGGGTTTAAGAATCATGATCATTGGAACCCTTTGCATTTGGTTATTAGCAGCATGCTCTGTGTGCAGTCTGACAGTACATTTAGCTCTCAAAATCTGAGAGATTTTGGAAGTGATCCTACACTTTCTTAGACCCAATTTCCTTTAAAAAGTCTCTAGTGCCAATTCTCTCTCTGGATCACTATTGACTTAAATAACTCCTGCTGTTTTGTGCACATCACAGTAATTAAATGCATTCTAGTTGGATCACATTAAGATGCCATTAATGCAACTTTACTTCAAGCACAGGGTCCTAATGCCAGATTTCTGTTGCTACCCTTCCATGAACCAGCTCTCACCCTGGCCTCGCAGCCAGCTGAGGGAGTGAGGCGTGCAGAGTAGCAGTTTTAGTTCATGGTAGGGCTCCAGATCTTAAAGAACTTTGTCCCCATGGCATGAAGAAAGCCAGAGTAGAACGCACTCACCCAGCTCTCGGGGCACGAGGGCATTATTCACATCTACACGCAGGGTGCTGGCTCAGAAGCCCAATTTCAGTAGCGAGGGCTGGTGCTGCTTACACAGTGTGTGGCAATTCACAGGGAGATCCAATTGCCTTTAACCTCATTTAGGCAATCCGCTGAACTCTGTGCACTGCCCTTGAAAGAAAGCATTCCAATAAATCGCTCCAATTCACTGAACTAACTGGATCCTAGTGTGCAGAAATGGATTCCAGTGTTAGTGTGGTATGTTCAGTTTATCCTGTGGTGCAAATATCTGCACACTCACCTACAACTTTAGCTAGCTTTTCTAAGTAACTCATGTTTGCTAATGAAAATCCTCTTTAGGTTAGGGTGCATTGATTTCTATTGTTCCTGTATTCTTCCAAAATAAAAATAGTAGGAATAGCATTTATTAAACTCAACTTCTACAAATATAGGGGGTAGAGAAGAAGCTGGAAGAAAGAGCGAATATGTTAAGGGAATGAAGGTACAAGTGTGTATTAGCTGACCTTCATTTCTTCTGCAGTATTTTTGTACCAATAGGAAATTGCTGCATTCCCAGTCATAGACCCCTTGGTGTATAAACCATCAACATCTCAGTTATGCCTCAGTGCTCTTGGAGAATGTGAAGTTATGACTACTCAAAGTTGTTGGGATGGTTTTTGTTGTGTTTTTTTAATGGAGGGGAAAATTAATAGTCACTCACATTTGAGGGAGTAGATGTGACAATTTATACATAACCTCTACTCAAATATGAGCGTACCAGGGATGCAGAGGAGACAGAGGTTAGTAATACTGCAGTAAGTGATAAGGAAAAATAACTATTAAGTTAGTAAAAGTATGGGAATGGCTCTGCATCGTACAATTAGGAGGTTGGCTGGTGGTCTTTATCTGGAGGGGAAAATAGTCTCTTTTCTTTCTTTTAGCACGTTGTATAACATGTTTATAAAAATATATGCTGCAATTAAATTTGATAGCTGTCCAACAATATCTGTGGAGTACAAATCAGGATGCAATATGTTTGGGGAAAGGAGGCAATTGTCAGCTAAGCCAATGAAACCTCTGCTACTTTAGATGAATGTTGATTTCAAAATCGTGGTTCACTGTTATGCTACAAGTATGCAAGATGTAGGTGAAATGCCAGTTTTGGAAAACATCATTATTTTAACACCAATCAGTTCATAGGGAATTGACAAGATATGCAAGTAACTCCTCTTAATGCGAGTCAGGCTTATTATGGTCAACATTGTATGATTTTTAAACAATAAAAACACCGCAGATCAATTTTTAAATGATTGATTTTAAAAATGTCATTGAAATTTGAAAACAGGTGCTCTCTTGATTTGTACATTAAGATGTAATAATATTATAGACAGTTTCTTCAAGCAAAAGAGAAGAATAACTTCTAGAGCTGAACATGTGAGGGGAGATCTAGGAAATAAGAATATCATCACTCGCATTAGAATATGGCCAGCTTAGCTGAGTTTAAGTGTCATTTCTCTTGCAATAAGTTCTGCTGAAAAGCTCTTGTTCTGTTGTGCCGTGGGTATCTACTAATCATTCATCAATATCCCTATGCAATTTCAGTTGACATCTTTATGGCCCTTTGTTAGTGAAAGCCGGGTCTCTTTATTTTCTGGCCCAACTGTTCATTTTTGATGCAGAGTTTCAGTGGAAAATCTTATTTTTGTATGGCATCGCCTCTTCTGCTGGGACAGCGAGAACATTCTCTTTCACTTCAGCTTTAAGAAAGATAGTGAAAAGAAAGTTACCCAGATGACAAGCAAATAAAAGGAAGCAGGCAACGGTAATTCTGTTAATGGAATGGAAAATGTGGCAGAAGGCAGAATTAATAAATTACAGAGGCCTGTCCAATGCTCCCCTAGTCAATTAACTGAAAACATGGCAATTTGGAGACAATCCACATTCAGTGCATGATTTAAGGAAGTAAGATATTTTCATGAGGTCTTATCTTCCAAGTGCAGATAATCCTGAGAGAATAGTTCACAGAGCTTCCATCACTTCCCTTTAATTATTTCATAGTGCAATAGATCTCACTCAGGAAGCTCTTCTGAGTCAGCAAAAAAATCCTTTTCTTAATTTCATTCTGTTTTCCTACTCATATCCCCTTGATGCATGTAAAATAATTCTATCCCTTCTTGACATTCACAGAGTCTCAACGTAATTAAGACAATTGTCTCCCTTTAGACAAGCTGAGCATAATTTTTAATCTTTTCTCATCTCACCCTCTTTATCAGTTTTATTACAGTCAAAACCCCATGTCTTTCTGTTGCTGAGATGCACAGAACTAATGCAATACAGTATTCTAGATGTCATCTTCCCAGATCCTTATAAATCAGGATTATGGGCACCATTACAGGTTTCTGCATATTTAGCCCAGAATCACTTTTTTTGGGCTACACATGCATAATACTCAATTCCCTCAATCTTGCCCTATAAGTCATACCACGGAGCCTGCCTACCTGCCCTCTGGTGAGCCCCATCACCCTGCCCTGCTCCCCAGGAAAAGGCACAGACTTTGGATAACAGCCTTCCAGAAGTGTAACCCAGACACTGCTTATGGATAAACTCTAGGAGGGCTAAGTTACAGGGATATGATAGCACCCAGGAGTCCAGCCCCCAAAGGGACCAAAAGCCCAAATAAATCCATCTTACTCTGTATAAAAGATTGACATAGAGAAAGGCCGTAGAGTTCACATGTTCAAATATCAAATGTAAGAGATACTCTCAGCCATTTCTCGCCTCACCCCGGGTAACAATATTTACACAGAGTTTGATAATAAACAAGTGATTTTATTAAATATAAAAAGCAGGACCTAAGTGGTTGCAAGTGATGACAAATCAAAGTAAGTTACTAAACTAAAACCCCCGCTGCAGCTAAGCTCTCTCCCCACCCTTATTTAGGTAAAGTGCCTCAAGCCTTTTCTCTGCCCTGGCTCTAACAGCTTCTACTCTCTGAGTTCTTTACTTTTTTTTCCCCAGGTCCTTTCATGTGTTCTCTTGAGATGGGGAGCAGTCTGAGAAGCCAGTTGAGGATCATCATTGTTTGATTCCCATCCCTTAAATAAACCTTTCAGGGAAGGAAATCTTTGTTCAATTCCCCCACCCGCACCCCAGAAAAATACCAAGCTCAAGATGGATTCCAGCACCAGGTGGCATGGGCAATAGTCTTTGCAGGACCAACCACAGTTTAGGCTGACCAGAAAAATAAGACCAATCACAGATCTTTGCTTTGAGCCAGTAAGTTCCTTAAGTACCACTCGTGGCTTTCCCTAGAAGACCTAGATCAAGGGTGGGCAATAATTTTTGATGGGGGGGCCATGCCAAGATTTTGGAAAGTGGTTGAGGGCCGTACTTTCCCATGATATTAATGGAGATGTGGGGTTTGGGATGGAGGTTGGGTGCAGAAGGGAGCTTCGGGTAAGGGACTGGGGTGCAGGAGAGAGTGGGGTTTGGGAGGGAGTTGGGATGAAGCAGGCAGTTGCGACCTAGGGTAGGGGTCTGAAGGGCAGCGGTTTGGGATGGGACCTAGGGTAGGAGGGGATTGTGATCTGGGGCAGGAGATTGGGGTACCAGATCTGGAAGGGGGTATGGGTGCAAGAGGGGAACAGACGGTTTGGGTATGTGAGTGGGGGGAGAGGCAGAGAGTCAGGAAAGGAAAGGGCTGGGGTACCAGAAGCAGGCCGTGGCCAGGAGACTTACTTGCCAGCTGCCAAACTAGCCTGCCTGACTGCAGAGCTTAAAATGTTCCCAGCCGGTCTGCCTGATTGCCAGGCCATGTGCATCATGAATATTCGAGCCCAGGAGGGGGCATGATTCTTCTTAGCTGCCTGTTAGTTCAACAAGCAGCTTCCATTGGCTGGTTTCTGCCAGAAACGGGCCAATGGCAATGTGCTGGGGGTGGGGCGGTTCCTAAAACTTCCCCTTTCCCCTCCAGTTTTAAAACAGAAAGGGATCTCTGCAGCTGGGTTTCTTATTTCTGCATGGCAGTGGAGCTATGGGTAAGCTGGGGAGCCTGCCTGGGGCTCCCGGCTGCCTCGGCGGGCCACATCCGGCCCACAGGCTATATTTTGCCCAGGCCTGACTTAGATTAACAGACAGGTTTATGCTTAAACTATGTAGCACTGTAAAGACTAACAAGAGGGTTTATTAGGTGATGAGCTTTCGTGGGCCAGACCCACTTCCTCAGATCAAATAGTGGAAGAAAGTAGTCACAACCTTATATACCAAAGGGTACAATCAAAAAAATGAACACGTGAAATTGACAAATCACAGTTTAGAACAGAGTGCGGGTGAGGGGGGGAAGTTAGTGTCTGTGAGGTAATGACATTAGGGGTGATAGTTGGGGGAAGCTATTTTTGTAATGGGTGAGAATTAGAGTCTTTGTTTAAACCCATACATAAAGTGTCAAATTAAGGGTGAATGACAATTCTGAAGCGTCTCGTTGAAGTCTGGAGTTAAAGTCTCTTTGAAGCAATAAGCAATACGTCATCACCTCACAGACACTAACCTTCCCCCCTCACCCTCACTCTGTTCTAATATTTGATTTGTCAATTTCACGTGTTCATTTTTTTGATTGTATCAGTTTGGTATATATGGCTGTGCCGATTTTCTTCCACATATTGATCTGAGGAAGTGGGTCTGGCCCACGAAAGCTCATCACCTAATAAACCATCTTGTTAGTCTTTAAAGTGCTGCATAGTCCTGTATTTTGTGTCAGCTAAACCAGACTAACACGGCTGCATCTCTATCACTATTTTTCAGGTTTATGCGTCACATTTCTAACTTCACAGACAAGAAAGATACATGCACTCAGATTGACTATACACATTCAGAGAATTACAAGATATTGAATGATAGGTTACGTGCCCTGTTTTGCATAAAGGATATTCAAGTTATGCATATTCATATTTAAAACATTTCCCTAAAAATACGAGCGCATAGTTTCAAGGTGGTATATCACATCCCCTGCTTTCCTCACACCCACAGAGCCAGTTATGTCATCACAGAAGGCAATCAGGTTGGTCAGGCATGACTTGCCCTTGGCGAATCTATGCTGACTGCTCCTGATCACCTTCCTCTCTTCTAAGTGTTTCAAAGAAGAGGAAAAGAATCTCTGCATTCCTTGAGGGCCAGTTCCATTTTTCCGGGGACTGAGATGAGGCTGACTGGTCTGTAGTTCCCTAGATTCTCCTTCCCTTTTTTAAAGATGGGCACTACATTTGCCTTTTCCAGGCATCTGGGACCTCCTCGATTGCCCTGAGTTTTCAAATAATGGCCAATGGCTCTGCAATCACATCAACCAACTCTCTCAGCCCCCTCAAATGTGTTAGATCCAGCCCCATGGACTTGCGCATATCCAGATTTTCTAAACACTCCTTAAGCTGTTCTTTCACCACAGAGGGCTGCTCACCTCCTACCCATTCTGTGTTGCCCAGTGCAGCAGTCTGGGAGCTGACCTTATCTGTGAAGATCGAGACCAAAAAAAATTGAGTATTTCAGCTTTTTGTGCATCATCCATCACTAGCTTTTCTTCACCATTCAGTACGGGTCCCAACACTTTCCCTGACCTTCCTGAGGCCTACCTGGAGAAACCCTTCTTGTTACCCTTCACCACGTTCAACTATTATTTACAAATTTAGATTATGACCAGCATAGAAACGACATCAGTCGAAGCTTGTAGCGAATTTTTACAAAGAGGGGGAACATTAATAGATAGCGGGAATATACTTCTAAAACCCAGGAGTGATCATAACACTAAACAATTAAGGGAAATCAGAGACATTGGAAAAGAAGTGATGAAGCAATTCAGTTGTACGTGCCTGCAGAAAATATCTAAAGACACCAGTGTGTGCATTAGCATTGTGACCACAACAGTAACATTGTATCAGCGCACACCTATCAGCTTTCTTCTTCCATCTGTACAATAATTAGTGGGAAGTGCAGTAATAGTACCAGCTACCACATGACAGTTTCATTAGCAAACTAGGAAACTGTGGTCTACATGAAACTGCCATAGCATGGGCAAGCACTTGGTTAAAAGACCGTAGTCAGTAATTTGCTGTTGATCAGGAAGCATGTATCTAGTCTGGGAACAGTCAATATTTTTACTAGTGACATGGATAATGAAACGGAGAACATGCTTATAAAATGTATGGGTAACGGGATTAGAACTCCAAAGGACCTTGATGAACTGGAGAATTTGTCTGGGAAAAAATGACTTCAACAAATGATATTCTGTTACCAAAAGTA